TATAAATTACACAAAATGTCAAAATATCAAAAATTTGTTCAAGAATGGAATTTAAACCGTGGTTTAATTTTAGACAAAAATAATTTTAAACCAAGTAAAAATATACTCCTCGATTGTGACGGCACGCTATCCTTTGAAGAATATTTCGGAGAACCATTGGTGTATTCGTGCAAAAATAAAGAGGTTTCTGAGAAATTGATTAACAATAAAGAAATACAAGATAACTCGGAAGAAGCTGATCCATGGGAACTATTGAATCATTACTCCACACTTTTTACGAAGCTACTTGATTGCAATGTCGATAGGCATTCTTTTTTACACGAGAATGATGTCATTATTTTATTCCCTATCGCTGAAATAACACATGATTCCAATATTGATGAGTCAGCAAAAATAATTCTAGATAGTAGTGAGACATTGATAAGTGCAGAACTCATCAACACATATGGTCAATTCATAGCAAAACGGTTTCTTGTCGGTGGAAAACTTACCATCAGGAATTACTTAAATATGACAGATAGAAAGAGAAATCTACTGAAATCGCACATTGTATGGGCAATAGAGGCCGTAACGATGTTAAAAGAAAATATTTTTCAAAATATATCATTTCCCAATATTGAGTATGAAAAAGAAAAATTTCTGAATGATCCTGTTGAATTAATGAATTGGATGAGGAAAATTTACGACGACAAGGAGGCCAAATTAATCTCTTACGAACAAATCATCCCAATTTCGTATCAAAGAAATCAGGGTTCATTACCATTCTTTAAACGACTAATACCGGGAACCAGTTTTACAAAAATGGCCACGTTAAACGAGTGGGTTCGTGATGCTGCTTCTATTAATCTAATAACATGGATTAAGAAATTTAGATTAAATTTCGGAATGAAGATCAATTTGAACACACTTACTTCGGGTGAAAATGTTGCTATCAGTTTTAAATATGAACCAGAATTATTATTAAGAGATCAAGTATACGTGAACATCATTCGGTCGAACGACGAATTTTTACTAAGAAACAATATATTGTGTTCATTTGAAAGCATTTCCTCTGTCCCATTTTTGAATGAATCAATCTCAAATGAAGGATTTTTCGATAAAGAGTTTTTGCATTATATTTTCCGAGGGGAAGAGGTAGAACTAAAACCATCAAAGTTTACAGATAAAGTACAAGAATTCTCAAATGAAGAATTTTTAGACAAAGAGTTTGTGCATTATATTATTAGAGGGGAAAAGGTTGAATTATATCTAAATAGAAAATTTATAAAACCAACAACAAATTTTACAAATATGGTACAAGAAGCACTTGATATGCTAAAACCGTATCAGGCTTTAAAGAAGGTTTTTGAAGACTTTGGTTATCTATGGCCCCAAAAAATAGTTCTTTGAAAAATTTTGAGAAATATTAGCCCGCAAATATCACCATCTAATCCAGTGCAAAACATATTTCCACATGATCATAAATTATTAAAAAGGATCATTGATGATCTGAAAGATGATGACATATTTTTAGATTCGGACGGTCACACCATGCAAAAAGATAATTTGGAAGATTGGATAAAAAATCCGGTCGATTTTAGTAAATACGAAATTATTGGTATGGATGAATTTATACCGCTGTATAAGATTCTTGAATTTGAGCAAAGAAGGGAAATAGAGCTAGTATTTTATAATATAAACGAATACAAAATACTTTTGACTGGAATAACGAAGCTCGAAGATCTGAGTGCTAATTGTTGTAAACATATACGTATTGATTTGCATGAGTCATTTAATAGTATAGATTATGAAGTTTTTGGTTCAGTTATTTATGAAAATAGTAATAAAATGGAAGATTGCACAGTGAAATTTGGATTGTTCGATTATCTTGGATTTTCAGCTATAATAAACACTGGGGACAAGTGCATTAAGAAAAAAAAGTAATGAATTTCAAGATATTCTTATTTTATCCGTCGATCTACTGTTCATTAATCTAATTTATTTATATTATTAAAATAATAGGCGTCTAATATGGATTATAGTGGGGAAGCATTCGTTACTAGGAGTTTTTAGTCCTCGACTTCGTGATCGAAAAGTCGTTAAATTTTTTAAAATCGAGGATTTAAACAATAATGAAGATATTATTCTAATCAAAAGTCCCTCTCTTCTGGAGGACAATTCCCTTGTGTTAGTTTGCACGTCGAACTCAGACTCATATTTTGATTTTGATCCTGTAATTCAATTTGAATTGAAAGAATGGTCGCCTGATTTTTTTATGTTTAAAGAAAAGAACTCAACCAGACAAAAGGAGGACAAGTGCTCTTCAGCAAAGGAAAATAAATTTGCCTCAAAAAACCATTATAAGCATATTTATAATATTCCCTGATAAGGAACAAAAGGTAAAAATTGATTATTCTGAGGAAACAATCAATTTAAATCATTTGGGATACAAACTAGAAAAAGACAAAAAGATAAATTTTCAAACTGGACATTACTATTGGGATGGAATTAAAGCAGAAAGATATGGAAGTAAAGCATTCGATTGTTATAAAAATTCGGATATGTTCAATATGAATCTTTAAATTATGAAGATTTGAAAAAATATGAAAGGTTTGAAAATGTGGAAAATATTCCTGAAAAAGATTATGAACCCGAATTTAATTATATGAGAAATCCTGATGATGCATTTGAACATGGAAATTATCGCCTAAGTGAAATTGGAGTCGAAAACAAAGAACAGGAGACGTTAATTACATTTTATGAAGGGACATCCAAAATGGGTCACGCAAAAGGAAAATATGGTGTCAGCAAGTATCATTCTGAAGATGAATGTAAAGAATTCGAGTATTATCTAAAATCAGCAGAGATGGGCGATATTGATGGAATGTTTATGCTTGCCACGCTTTATCGAAATGGAATCGGAGTAATAAGAAACTTAAAAAAAGCCATCCATTGGTATATAATGTAAGTAACTTGCCTACGTATATTGATTTGGAATAAGAAAATTTTATTTAACAATGCTTTATTGAATAGGGAAAGGAAGGAATTTTTGGGTATTTTTTTTATATTTACCAATCATTGTCTATAAATATAATTTTAATTTCTTTCACTTATTTTCCTAGAAAAAAACAATTCAATGAGCAAAGATCTAAATTTTGACGATGAGTTAAAGGAGATATCGATTAAAAGTGATTTCTTAATAACGTGGATTCCTTTTAATGAATTTAAGTATATTGAAGAAATTGGGCGGGGTGGATTTGCAACAGTTTATTATGCTAAATGGAATTATAGAAGTGTCGCACTTAAATTAATTCATGGATCAAAAATAAATCGCAAAGAATTCATAAATGAGGTAAACTCTTAAGCTTATTAAAATTTATTAATATGACACCTTTTAATCGTCATATGTATACTGTAGTTAAAAGCATATTGTGACATTGGTCCCAAGAATCCTACATTTTTAAGATGTTACGGAATAACACAAGATGATGTCTCCAAAGATTATATTATAGTTTTACAAAATGCAATGATGGGTTCTTTACGTAGGAATATTCCCGAGATTGCCCAAATAGATTGGGAAATGAAACTAAATTTACTAATTTGCATTATTTCCGATCTTCGGATAATTCATTCACAAAATCTTATTCACCGAGATTTACATAGTGGTAATATATTACAAGATACCTTGTATAGCGCATACATTGCAGATTTGGGCCTTCTGCTACGAGTAGACGCAGAAATAAAATTAGAACCTTATGGAATTTGCGGGAATTTGCCATATGTCGCACCGGAAGTTCTATCCGGTAAACCGTATACGTTAAAATCGGATATCTATTCGTTCGGCATAATAATGTGGGAAATTTCATCAGGAAGAGCATTGACTTTTGATGATCACCAGCCTTACTTTTATAAATTAAAATTTCAAGTGTGTAATGGTTTAAGACCTCCAATAATCAGGGGTACACCACAACATTATATAGAACTTATGAAACGTTGTTGGGATAAAGATCCGGAATACACGAAATAATCACACAATGGCAAAATAAATAAATAAATTCTCGAATATTATATTACAATTATCCAAAATATGCATAAAAGCTAATTCGATTTTAATATGCATCTATAGAGGCAGTTGACGATCGACAATCAATAGATTACGTATATAGTTGTACGTATTTAGTCTCTTGAAACTTTGATTAGGTCAAATTTTTCATAAAATAAAACTTGATTTTTGCTTTATATTATTACAGGCTAACTTGCGAGTCTGTTGTTAATGAGGCTCGCGTAATCCGAACAAACTTATAAAAAATACCATTCAGAAGTAATAATATAATGAAGAGTCGCTGATAACTTTACTAGATGTAACACGAAGGATTGATTTATTTTTAATTCGCAACGGATCTTTATTTTAATATCTTGAATCATATAAATATCACATGTTTTATGATTATGCTAATTTTTATCTTTTTCACATCCATATTATTGTAACAGATACACCTTTCCTTTTTTATTACTCTCTTTAATTCTTTCCGCGTTATCACTTTTTAGAAATACGAACATAGCGCTTCACAATAGTGAACCCATGATACGTCGAAAATGCGAGCGTCCTCTTTTATTTTTTTATTCTCTAACGATATCTATGTATACTTTAAATTGAAGATATCAATCTACAGAGAATTGGCTGGCGATCAATATAATTTATAGTACATATATTACGAAAATCAGGTTTATTGATAGAATAAATAATTGAACCAACTGTGACAGAGTCACAGGACTACTGTCACGAAAATAGCGTGTCATCTACTGCTGTTTACTTCTCACTAATTACAAGTGAATTATATACAGCCGCGTAACTTCGTAAAATGTAATATTTTTTTTTTTAATTAAAATACGCATGCGTGCTACTCGCAACGTGCGGAGTTTGGGATTTAGGATATGGCTGCATCCTCTCTATAACAAGTTTGTTGGAATATAAAAGTATTGGACACAATACATTCTTATAGGGATGCGCAGAATGCATCTCAATTAGAATTTCCTTGTTGATTTTTTTGTTTATCAGCTATATACAAATCAGAGCATTGATTTCTATTCTTAAAAAGTATATATTGTAGATTTATTTTAAAAGACTCATTTTGCTTTGATAAAATAATTGGAAATTTAAAACCATTTATTTTTAAATAAATATTTAGTAGGCTTAAATAATTGAGATGGATGCATTCATAAATAATATTTTTAAAAATATATACTTAAAATCAATAATTATACAATGTCACCTATATTATTTTTATAATTCATGATTTTGAAATAAAAACTTTCGGCATTACTTCTTAGAATCCTATGTGCGTACGTATTATTTATATATCAAGATTAATTAATAAAAAAATCAACATATTACTTTTTTTACTCATTCATTTTTATTTTTTTAAAAAATTAATTATAAGAATACGATTCATTATTAAAATAAAATAACCGAGTCTTCAAAAAAATTTGCATTTTATATTGCTTTGGAGTAATTTCTGGTGTCCTGAACGGGTTTTAAGTTAGCGTTTAACCCAGTTTGATAGTTGAGATTTAATTGGATTACTGATTTTCTGATATGGGATTTTGGTTTTCGGATCATATCGATCGATTGTTTTAATGAATAATCAATATAAAAATAAAATTAAAATGAAAGACGTTCCTCAGAGGTCATTTTTTCGAGATCATAAACTAGGTTCTCTGTACGGTCATGTGTCTTCGGGACATTGAAAAGTATCTCTCGAAATTAATTCTATGAAAATATTTATCAATTTAATTATTATAAATTATATGCTGGTTTTAATTAATGATAGATATAACAATTAATTTGAAAAATTAATATTGATAAAAATAACCATAAAAGTTAAGATTTCTAAAAGAATGAAAAAAAAAAAAAATAATAAATCATTCTAGAATTTAATAAATTTATAGAATTATAAAAAATAAATTAAATTTTATTGATTTTTATAACTGTGAAGTACTCATTAAATGTAATTTAAGAACTAATAATCGAATATTTTAAATATCCATTTCAGTAAAATTTAACGCATACTGTATATTAAAATGAAATTATAAAAAATATATACTGTATCTTAATCAATTCATAAGTTTCACAATAAAATATCCATCTTTCGGAATAATCTAAATATTATACGTACAGATCAAATAAACAGTATAAATCAAAACTTAATATAATATTTGTATTTGTATTTCATTTATTTCCATAGAATTCAAATAAAATTTTATAGTTTAGAATAGAAAAATTACGATTATTATTTGAAACAATAGTATCACTAAAAAAATCGTTTGGAACTTCATATTTATGCGAATAAAGTAAATCATATCTATTTAAATAAAATATTTAATAAAATAATTTAATAATAATGAAGATAAAAAAAAAAAAATAAAATAATTAATATTAAAAATCTAAATATTCAATTTCAGAATTAATGGGTAGCGGAAGATCACTAAAATTGAGAAGTCGACTAGTATAAATAGCTGATGGGTGATTTTCAAGTGAGATATTATATAAAGAATATAGTAGCACGTTTTCATTGATTTGATTATAGAGTTCCGAACTTTCGTGTTTCTCATAATTACTCCATGCCCTTAAAATACCGCGTAGTTCAAAAGAACTTAAGCGTTCATGGAAATCGGCATCTAAACATTTTCGCATCAATTCGACCATTAATTTAGGAGTGTTTCTTGGAATTCTAGGTCGTTTACCAAGGCAAATTTCAGTTGCAAGATTGTGATCGTGTGGAATATTGTGAAAAGGAATAATTCCGGCTATCACTTCAGACATGATAACTCCAAATGCATAAACGTCGGATTCTTCTGTATATTCTTCACCATGTATTACTTCTGGTGCTAAATATGGAAGCACCCCATGTAACCTTCGGTTAACTTCACTATTACCATATTCGGCGGCTGGTTTACATAGGCCCAAATCGGCTATGTAAATTATTCCTTTTCTAATATCGGAAAAAAGAATATTTCCACTATGTAAATCGCGATGAACTAATTTAAATTTATGTATTTGATATAAACCTTCCGCAATTTGTTTTAAAATTGATAATTTTTCCTTCCACGTCATCTTTCGAAATTTAGCAAAATTCTTTCCAAGACTATTATCTTCCATTAATTGCATGACCATCATGAAATTCTTTGTTTCTTCATGTCGTGTAATCCCATAACATCTAACAATACGAGAATACCTGTCAACACAGTTAATATTATTTTTTATCTAAATTATATATACATATTATTGCTCAATTAGTATAATAAATATTTTAACCAATACAATATTTATTTTAAGAAGTATAACAACCTCGTTTAAAAATTCATGAGTTATATCTTTAGAATCATTAAGAAACTTTAGTGCAACATTCGTAACGCCTTTTCTTTTCCATTTTCCATCTCTTGCATTCCAATAAAGAATATATCCTTTGGTCCATTCAGCCGAAAAAACTTTTCCATATCCGCCTTCACCTATAGTAATTTCATCAACTTTGAAATTTGAATAAGGAATCCATTCAATTACTTTTTCATATCCGTCTGCATTTAGCTGAATTTCTTTTATAAAATTATCAACAACTTCACTCCCACTTTTCCAATTGTCAAATTCTTCTTGAAAGCGGGATGTATTGCATAGCTTACACCAATACGAAAACGTTGACTTATAACATTGATTGCACACGCCTACCAATTGAACTTAAATTCGCATAAATTCGAAAAATAAATTTGTAATTTGCTTGTAAAACTAACCCCCTATAAAAGTCGATTATAAGAATGTAGTTAAAACACTTTTCGTATGAATTTAAAGACAAACATGAGAATATTAATGAAACTTACAATCTGTAATATTAAAAATAAGAATATCGTTGAAGAATGCTTTCGTATTAATTTGCAGGCCAATTTATATCATGTTTGTGGAAACTTGCCTCCTATAAATTAAAATATTTAATAATCTTTTATTAACATGTAAAACAAATTAAAATATATATAATTAATATACTTACTATCTATAAAATTAAGGGAAATAATATGGCCTGTTAAACATTCTTTTTATAATTCAGAAAAAATTTTAGATGATAAACTTGTGAACTTACCGACTGTAATATCAGAAATAACGAGATGATTAAAATATTTTGTATAAATTTACAAAATAAATATGGGAATATATTTGTAAAAACGTACAATCTTTATATAAAGAATATCAATATAGTTAAAATATTTTAACTGGAAAACAATTTAGAAAATATGCTTGTGAAATTTACCGTCTTTAATATCGACAATATATTTAAGACCTTTTTCATAAATTTGCATACCAAATTCAAAAGAATACTCTTATCGAAACCTACCATCTACAATATCAAAAAATAACAATATAGTAAACTAATTTGTACTAATTTCCAAATATTGTGATTATTAAACTTACCGCCTGTATTAATTATAATAATAATAAAGTTAAAGTAATTTTCATAATAACTAAATAACTTAAAAAGATGTTCTTATATAACTTACTGTCTGCAATATCGATAATTACATAATTTAAGCACTGTGTATTAACTGTAATATACGTATTGTAAAAACTTACTATCTGTAATATTAATGATAATATGGTTGAAATAATTAGTAAGAAATTTTAAAAATTTAAAATATGCTTATAAAAACTCACCCCCTATAAATCGAAAATCAATTCGTATTAAGGAAATAGCACTCTTCGTACGAAATTGTGAAAAATGATAAAAATGAGCTTATAAAAACTTACAGTCTGTATGTTCAGAATAATATCTTTAAAGCTCTTTTGTTTAAAAATTTGAAAATCAATTTGGAAATATAATTGCAATAGTTACCAACTGCAGTTTCGAGGATAGTGAGATAATTCAGTATTAATTTTCAAATTCGAAACATGCTATGAAAACTTACAATCTGTAATATCCCATAATATAATAAGAACATATCGTGTTAATTAAAAAACCAATTTAGAAAAATACGTTTATGGAAACTTACCAACTACAATGTCGAGAGTATTGTTAAATACTTTCGTATAAATTTGAGAATCAAATTTAGAAAAATCGCACTTGATAACTTACTAACTAAAATATAAAATTACTTGTAATAAATGAAAAT